TCCACTTGGTTTAACAATATCAGGTAGTGAAGATATATTTGAACCAATTGTTGTTTCAGATTTATGTGAAGGTGGTTTAGCAGATAAGTAAGTTTAAGAAAAATGATTTATTGAAAAAAAAATAATCAATTTAAAATAGAACAAATGCTATTCATATTGGTGATCGTATATTAGCGATCAATGATGTTAGTCTACGTGGTAAAGGTCTTAATGAAGCAATTAAATTATTACAAGCAAGTAATGATGAAATAACATTAAAAATTTCTCGAACAATCAATCCACAACAAAGTATTTTAACAAAAAGAAAAAAAAAATACTTTAAATATTCTTTGTTTTTCTTTCATAGAATTAGCTCGTCCATTTCATCATCATCATCATCATCAAGAAGAGTATACTCCATCTGTTGATTCTGCTATGGAATCATGGGATAGTTCAAATACCGAACATCGTTTTAGTGATAATTGTGAAATAGCAAAAGAAATTCTTGTTAATGATCATCAACAACATTCAAATTATCAAGATACGCCAACGCCACATTTATCACGAAGTAAGTAAACAAAACGTTCTTTTTTTTTTCAATGTAACCTTGCTTATATTTTAAATAAGCAATCAAATCGAAGGTTATAATTTTTGTCTAGATCAAATAATGAATTTAATTGTATTTATTGTGTATTTTTTTTTCTTTTTTTTTTGATCAAGGTGAATTTGTTATTAAACCTCATCAAACACATTCAATACCAATAACTATACATTCAAATCGTTCAATGATTATTGCAACATCTTCATCAGGATATCGAACACCACCAACAAATGGTCGTCCACTTGAAACAATACATCATTCAGATGTTGGAGATAATATAAATGGAAATGAACATAAATTTTCATCAATATTAAATGAAAAACCTTTGAAAAATAATTCAAATCTTTATGATACTAAATATGATAATTGTACAACATCAACAAATCGACCAAGATATGATACAGTCACTTTAATACTTAAACGTGATAAACGTATACTTGATTTTGGTTTTTCAATATCTGATCGACTTTATGGTACAGGAGTTTATGTTAATAAAATACGACCAAATGGACCAGCTGAATTAGAAGGAACATTAATGCCATGTATGAGAATTTATAAAGTATGTCAAATATTTCATTTGAATATAAAACATTTTTTAATGTATATATTTCATTTTTGTTTTTTTTTTTGTTTCTGTGTTTTATATTTTAGGTAAACAATACAGATGTAACACGTATGGAATGTAATCAAGTAGTACCATTATTATCTTCATCACCAGATGAATTAACTCTTGTTGTTGGACGACGACCAGCACCTATGTTTGATGAAACAGATGAATTATTTGATATTGATGAAGATGAACACCAATCACCTATTGTTAATGATGGTTCAATGTGGAATTCATCAATAAATACAACTATAAATGAGAACAATAATACGAATAATGATAATACTACGAGTTCGACTATGACTACAAATAATACATTTTCACTTCTTTCTCAGTCGAAAACAAGTACTGTATGAAAATAAAATTAACAGAGAGTTTCAAGCGTGTTCATCTAGTCAACTCAGACGTTCATATACACTCACTAACGCACACACACCAAACCCAATCCTCTCATTTGTACATATTTTCCTCTCTTGTGAAAAAGCATTCGGTATCAAGTGTATTCTCTTTCTGTTCATTTCTTTTTTTCTTTTTGTTATTGGCATATGCGTATATAGAAATGTATTAAATTTGATTCTAACATGTTTTATTTGATACAGATATAATAAAAAAAAAAAAAAAGAAATTGATCATTAATAAAAATATATGAAAAAATATAGATGAAATATTAACATTTGATTATCATTTAATTATTGAGAGATGTCAAAACGGTGATAATATAAATCACATCATGATCGAGGTTATCTATAATGATTTATTTATTTATTTATTTATTATATTTATCTATTAGATTATAATAATAAATAAATGCGTACATGCATCAACATGAACTGATGTCTCATAATTCACTAGAACATTTGTTATATAAATAGTATTTAATTGAGTTTAAGAGAATTATGTTACGCAAATTAATTATATTAAGCTGTTTGAGAAGAACATAAGTTTTCTTCTTATCTTGACTTGAAGATATTTATTAAATCTATATAATAATAATCCTAGCTATACTTCTATCTTAATGACAAAAAGAAACATTGACTAAAGATAATTTGATGAATAGCATGTATTTATGTAAAGATAGTTCTTTATCTTAATATTTAATATAAGCCTTGTATTTTGTCATGTTTAACATGATTAATTTCTGGTTATTTATCAAGAACTAGACAAGCCTTGTATGACTTTTATTGAAAGAAAAATTGTGGAAAGAAAAAAAAAACATCATACGTAACCTATAGCACAAAAAATTTGACATAAAATATTCGCTCACATTTCGACTATTGAAAGATAATTGATTAGAATCAGAAATTTTCGATTTTACGCAATAGATGTTCAGGTTTTCTTTTAGGATATAATTAAACAACTATCAATAGATTTTGTACAAAATGAGATATTACAGTAAGCGAAATTTTATCTATACGTTTGTACTAGAGAACTACTGTCTATGAAAGTTGACACCAATAAAAGAAATCGCTGTTTCAAGAGTATAAAAAATTTCAAATTTATCAAGATAAAAGCCAATAGCACGCTTTTCACAGTAAAATTTTCTCTACAAAACTGAGCTATTAAAAATTGTTTTACATTTTGAATTCTATCGAATTCATTCAAAATTCAAAATTGACCTAAATAATATTCTTTATAACCACTATTTTGAAACGATCTAATGATATTTGTCTAAGCTTACTGTAGAACGAAATTCTGAATACATTCAGAGTATTTTGTGCAAAGACTTTCGTGCCATGGGACTTTCTCGATACATAACTCGGAATCGTATTTTGTGTCCCAATGCCAGAAGATCAAAGTTACGTACGATTTTCGTTCAAATATCGTCACAAAGTTCCATTCGTTCTGAAAAACAACGATTTTGAAGTGAGAACTTTATTGATTTAATTTATTTTATAGTTGATAAAAGCTATTGTGCATGGTTAGTGAGCTTAAATTATTAGTTAGATGTATATCTGTTTTCCATAGATGAGGCGAAAACCATGTCAGAGTTCTTTCTTCTCAAAGATAATCTAAGGGTTGACTTTATGTGATTGATTGCTTGTGCATTTTTCTCAGTTCCATTGATTTGAAATTATCTTCTATGAGTGTTAGTGACAGCAAATATTTAATTCCAAATAATTTCATAGAATGATGTTTATTATTCAATCACAACTCAGGATTTCTGTTGATATGACGACACAGCAGATTCAATTTCTTAATTAATATAGCTTCAGAGATTTTTGAAACCTGATAAACAATGAACTTATCCTTTTCGATTACCACATAATATAATAATAATGGGTACGAAATTTTCATGAAAAATTGTTTGACACGGTACAGTCTTTAGGCGTTTATTACAATAATTTCATAATTTATATACTCAACTGTAAGTACATTTTTGTTGACATGTGCATTCTATTTTCGCTCGTTGATAGAGTATCAGGACATATTGACGATACAAAAAACTAGTGAAAATGAATGAAAGTTTAGTTAAGAATTCTCACGCGCCAGTATAATATAAATTTCATGGATTTTTGATATCACACTAATTGATTTTCAATTACAGCACAATACTCTGTTTATTTTCTGATAATTGATTCATGGTGTATATAATTAAACGTGTATTAAAGCGATTGTTCTACTTTATACAATTTAGAGAAACATATTTTTTCGTCAAGTTTAACATTTTGACCAATGCAAAAGCTTCATAATCTCATAAACGATGAATTCAATTTGGATCGCGTAGTGAATATACAAAAGGAATTAATCTCAAAATAGGATTGATATTTCAAAGCCATAACCAGTTAGTCATAGGAAAATATCATTGACGTTATGTCTCGGCTTTAAGCAAATTAATAATGATAGTTTCATTTGGTTTTTCTTTAAAAATGTAAAAAATAATTCTCAAGCATAATGATTTAAATAATACTGAATCAAATTTTGACATAGCATTATTCGTTACACTAAGTATAAAAAGAAACTGGTTAGAACAAGTAAATGTTTTATTTGTTAGTTTATTGACAATATGTTCGAATAATTCTTCTTGAGCATAAGGATAAATTCCTGAATGACCTTTGAAATTGATTCAAATGAACAATGATGAGAAAAATAAAGTTTGTCAAGAATAAAACGGTGATTTGACTAATTAGTTGATGCAATCTTTCTTTCTTCCTCGGCGTAAGCATCAAAACTTGTCATTTTCTGTCGCTATGGTCTAAAGATGCGACAGTTACAAAAAACTTCATAGTCGGATGGACAGCATCCTTTTTCTGATCTTTAATATAATGTTTTATTCTCCTACAGAAAGTCACTTAAAAAAACAATTTTTTTCTGAATACTGTTTTTTTCCAAGTTTCAATATTATTAAACAAAGGCATTAACAAAATTTAGCTTCATCTCTCTTTGCTTATAGCTAAGATACTTGTGAATATCGCTGATAATTGTTAATGAATCCGAGAGAATCACGGGATCAATCGAAAGTATCATTTGAAACAATTTTTATAACTATTAATGGTTCTCTCTTGATAATGAATTTTGAAATGACTATAACATCACAGTTTCCTTCTAACTTTGATCATCTGATTGGTCAGAACATATAACTTTTTCGATTTAGGATGACAACAAAGAAATCTTGATTTCAGTATAGCGTGGTTATCTTGTGGTGAAAAGTGTTTTATCCTCAATCGTCTAAACGATTTTTCCTTTTTTAGAAAATATCAATTTGTTCGTCAACGGACATTGGAAGCTTCGTATCACATATTGCAGTTGAATAAAATTTGAATGTTATCTACATTTTTCTGGTATTTCAACGCAAAAAGAAAAGGTTTTTACAATTTAAAAGCGACATGTGTCTATATCTTTCGATGATGATTGATTTATTGTTGTTGGATCTATACAATAAAAAAACAAAATTATATAAACTAAAAACAAAAAAAAACTTCTCTTTCTGCTAACCACTATGTTTTTTTCTTTGTCTTGGTATGTTATCCATTGATTGTTCTAATATTTGATTCGATGACTCAATTATTGTTGATGGTTGTAAGATATGAATTATAGTTGAATCAAGATCGTCATAATTTTCTACTTCTTCTTGACTTCGTGCATAAATACTTGCCTGAAAAAAAAATAAAAATATAAACAATCAGATGATTTATTTATTATTTCTTCATACTTGTCGATGTGTATCATGCATCTTAGCATGAAGTAAATCTTTTATATCATCCGATTTTGTTAATGATACCAATTCATTATCTATTGATGGTATTATAATAATATCATCAGGTATAGTTATACTAAGAAAAAACAAGTATTTTAATATATAAAAAATCAATGCAAAAAAAAAATAATACAAACATGTTCGATACAATGCTTTCGTTTCGACTATTAGTAGTCGAAGGATTAACAACAGCAAGTAATGTTTGTGATTTAGGTGAATGTGATGTTATTATTTGTTTTATACCTGGATTTCCTTCATGTAATTTAATAGCTGTTTGTAAATCAATATTACGAAATGTTTGCCATAAACGTAAATCAAGTTTTTCTTGTGGTTGATCACGTAATAACCATTTTTTCATATAATTATGATCAAATTTATTATATCTATAGTTAAATTATAAATAATATCTATTTTAGATGATTGTTTGTTTTTTTGACTTTTTTTTTTACATACTTATTACGAAGAGAATTAGCACCAGTTACACCTACCATATCTTCAAGACAAGTCATAACATGATCCATCATCTTTATTAAATTTATTAATAATGAATACATTCTTTTTAATCTTGATTTTTTAACTTACACGATTTGTTAATGTTGCACTCATTGTTGGTTCTTCAATTTGTTTTCGTCTTACATTAAGTAATTTAACTAATGGACCTAATGTTGTACCCTAAAAAGAAATTTATTGTTTTTATGTTTTGCTATTAAATATTTTTTGTTGTTAATATACTTGTATAAAAACAGTAAATAGAACAACAACAGTAGATGCTGTTATAAATTCTTTTTTTCTTGGTGCTAAATTTTCATCTAATACAAGTGCTAGTGCAAATGCAAGTGCACCACGAAGACCACCGTAAGACATAATTAACATATCAATACGAGTTAATTCAAGTAGACGACGAATATTAGCTAGATTAGCAAATAACGCAACACCTACAAATAATGATAATCAACAAAACAAATTTCACTAGACTTTAAAATAGTATTCGTTTTTACACACCAATAGCTCGATATATAAGACATGATAGAAGAGTGACAATAACAAAACCTGTATTCCATATTTGTTGTTCGGATACTGTAGTTAACCCCATAAACATAAAAATAATTGTCTCCATTATACTTGAAGCCATTTTAAGAACATATTCAATAGTTGCCATAGATTTTTTTGTTATATTATATTCAACATATTGTTTCATCATCTAAAATAATTTATAATCAATATGAATATTCATACTTTATAACTTACCATCCCACATATTGTAATTCTAAATGAAAAGAAATAAACTAAGAAAAAAAAAACTTTTAATTAAAATAAACACATACGCTAGAATTCCAGATAATCCAGTCATTTCAGCAATGATATAAGCAATATAAGCATAGATAAATACAACTAATGGTTCGAGTACTGGTGTTCGTTCGGTAAATTTTGTCATAAAAACAGCCATGAAACCAAATACAATACCAACAAGAATACCACCAATAGTTACAACAAAAAAAGATACAAAACCAAGAAAAAAATCCTTCGGAATTAAATTATTTTGACCAATAGTTAAAAAACTTTCGAACATTCGATAGAGTACCTTTAAACAAAAAAAAAGAAAGGTTGTTAAATAATTAAAAATCAAATTTCGATCTTGAATCCATTTAAGATCTCTGAGTGTCTTAAGAACGTCTGTAAATTCTTCTATTCTTTTCACCAATATGATGACAATAAATTATTCCATTAACAAAATGTAATTTGTTTACTCTTTCTAAAAAAGAATACTTAGTTCGGAATATTTCTACTGAAGTCATATCATAAGATCTCGTTTAAGATATTTTTGCTACAAATATACTCATGAGATAATTGTATCAATAATGAAAATCATCTAGGTCATATAACTAATGATAGAATATACTAAACTCTATAGAAGTATTATAGCTTACAATTGAAACAGCATCATTGAGAAGTGATTCTCCAAAGACAACAATATATAATGTATCATTAACACGAATTTCTACAAATGTTGCTAATACAGCTATTGGATCAACAGCTGTAATAAATGAAGCAAAAAGAAGACATTCAAGTAATTCAAATTTTGTACCACCATATAAAGTTGTTTTTCCAAATGCCCATATTGTTAATCCAATACACATTGTATTAAAAAGTTTATTAAGTACAGCTAATAATAGTATTGTTCCAAGATTATCAAAAAAAGCTCGTTTTGGTAAAAAATATCCTGTTTCAAGTACAATAGGTGGTAATAAAAATAAAAAAAATACATCACTATTAAGTATATATATTCGTTTTTCTTCTTCAAGATGTGTTAAATATAAAAGAATACCAACAACAATACCTAATATAATTAGAAGACAATTTTCAGGAAACTTTTTTATTAAACGATGTGATAAATGAAATACTAATGGAATAAAATGTTTAAAAACAAAAATTATAAAAAGAAAAATTAAATTTTTAAAAATAGTTGATTATACCGATTTTAGCTAAAATACCAAGTAAAATCCAAAGACATATACCAAATACATTTGAAACATGATCAAATGTAACTTTAACAACAGGAAAATGAGGTCGAACACCTGTTGTATTTGACGATGATGATGAGGACGATGATGAACTATCAACAAGAGATGCATAGCTAATCAATACCAGTACAGATGAAAGTTCTTCCATGTTTAAGATTGGTATGATCAATGTCCGTATGTTGTCGATTAACGATATTCTTTTAGAGAAAACAGTCAAAAAAACAAAAAAGAAAGAATATAAATGTGAATAGTGAGTGCTTACACTTTTCTTTCTGTGTTTTTATTCAATCAAAAAAAGTAACTTATGACAGGACATTATATTAACATTAAGTAAAAGAAATAATAAGAATGAGTGTAAAGTCATGAAGGATAGTCAAGTTTAATGGACAAAGAAAATCTTATATATTCTTGAATATTTAAGTTAAAATCTTTTTTGATAATATTTTATAATTCACTGACATACTAGTCAACAACAAAAAAAAATCAAAATAGATTTATTTCTCAAGACTATTCTATATTTATCCAAGATATATATTAAATACCATAAACTGAAATATTTCCATTTTATTAAGTGCTCTATTGTCAAAATGACGCATACAGAAGAAAAAAAAAATCATGATTAGGACTTACAAAACATATCGGGTACTATAACAGAAAATATTCAAACGTAAGACGATACGAATATAAAGACAAAAGATACATCATATATTATTATCTTGTTTTTGATTCTTACTTTATGTTTTAGCAATAAAAGATATGTATACTAGTTTCTAGATATAGATTATTTCAATAGAGTTTACTTGTAACATTGAATCGATTTATTATCTAGATGATCATATGTGAAACATTTATTGTTGAATTTTCTATATCGAACAAAACTATACTGCTATTGATATTAGAAATCTATCTACTTAGATATAGTAAATTTCTTATAAATGATTAGAAAGAACAAAATGAAAGATGTTAATATTTCAATCCGCAAATTTTACAAAATTGGTTACGTACTTTTTTTTTGAATGGATATGAAATGTTTTATTAAGATTTGAATGAATGATATTCATCCTTTTTGATGTTTTATCATGAATATAGAAGTACATTGTAGCTGATATACTTGTAGTAGAGAAAGATGCTTTCGGGTTTGATGATACATCTTTCTCTTTTTCACGAAAATATAAGACACAATATTCTTTTCTGCATTGGTAGTGAAATATCTACAAATTATTAATTATAAAGTACTTTGATAAAATGTTTATTCATTTTTTTGGGTCATCAAAAGTTCTGGCAAAAAATTGAATTAGAATGAAAATTTTGCAGCGTTTTCGAATCTAAATTCAAAATTTCACTTAAACTTCTGGTTTAAGAGTGATGCGTCAATATTTTAGAGACGTGAAAATCAAGTTTGCATCGAAAAAAGTTACGTTTTTTTTTGCGACAATAGTCTCCTTTACTACATACTTTATATTATCGATTATTATTGCATTGAACTAACGTCGAGATTGTTCTCCATAAAGTGATATGCGAAGCAAAAGTTTCAGAACAATCATTCAAGAATGATCAAGCTCATTTTTCAAAATCATTTTCTTTAGACATGAACAAAGCTGTTCTAAGTGCCACAATTTGTCTTACCATATGGACCTTGTTAATGTTTACCTCATTACGTCTAAATCACAAGTTCTAAAAAACGATTTAATTTAAAAAATTTTTGACTTCAACTCAATGTTTCCAAATTTGTACAGGCTCTTTTAAAGAAGCTTAAAAATTGAACAAATACTTATTCAAATTACTTTTTGATCAATTCGTTATAGGAACACTTTCATGTATGAAAATAATTAAATTTTCTAATAGAAAAATCTGCTCATTGATAATTATATATTTATCGGTATGCTTAATTTACTAGAAATGTATCAAATTAATGCAGGAGATAATTGATAGAAATATATGGTCCAGTATTCAAAATAAAGATTTTCATTTGTTTCAAACGAAACATATATTCTTCTATGAATTAATTTTTTTAATGAAAACAAACTTTTGTATTCAAAATTCTGATCATCATCATCGATGGAATTTTCTTTCCTTTTTTTTGTCATCTTATAAGCATGCGTGTGACATCTGTAGAAGTGTTGACATGTCAACGAAAACTAAAAGCCAGTCAATAAAGGTATGACATGATTCATTTGTGAAAAAAAACAAACTGCCTGTCTACTTGTCTATCTACCTACATTTAAGTTATTGATAACGTATAAAAATAATGGTTCTCATAGCTGTGAAACATTTAGAAAAAAGTATAACTATATCATATATTTATATTCATTTATTTAATTAATTTGTTGTTTTTTTTTTTGTTATAGCTATATCATTAAATGATGTGGATAACGTATCTATACTTGGTTTGGATCAAGGTTCTATTTTACTCTTTTCTGCGACTATTCTTTCTCGAGTAAATACTTTTTCTTTTTATCGTATTATTTTTAGTTTTTTGAAATTTATATAAAATAGAATTCTTCTACACCACGAACAATCATTGGTGGTGTTCAATTAAGTGATGGTGATCAAAAAGTATTTAGTTTTTAATTTATATAAATATTAAATCGAAATTTGATGTTTTTTTTCTTTTCTTTCATCTAAAAGATATATCATCGTCATCCATCATGTGTGAAAGTTACTCATGCTAGTATTAATGCAACACGATCATTATGTTGTAAGTTTGAAATCGTTTACATTTAGTTTAGTTATTTATTTAAAATACTAATACAGGCTTTGTAACACGTTCAGGTTAGCTTTAGCTAAAATTGCTCTAATATAATTCGATGAAAATAGTCGATCTCGAATTGATTAAATTTTTTTTTTACAGAATCATATAATTTTGATGTATTTGTTGCTGAAATTGGTGCATCGAATTCAGGACGTTTATTTTCACTTAAATTATCACGTACAAATCCAATTCGAGCATATCTTGCTCCTTATGATATCATTTTATTACTTTATCGAGATGGTTTGAAATATTATTTTTAAATAAAATAATAAATATATGAAAGTTTGATTTTATTTTTGTTTAGCTGTTAGTGTATTTAGAATACCCTATAATGACAATGCTTTGGTTTGTTATTTTAAAATAAAAAATATTTTTGATTAACTAAAGAAAAATTTTCCTTTAATAGGATAAATCAGTGGCTGTTGATAGAGATGCACAAATAAGTGAATGTATTTATTATCAATGGGATACTATTCAACAACGATTACATGTTATACAGAAACGTTCATCAACATTAATAAATACAATGGTAGTAAATGGTTTCGATGCATTAGTCTATACAGCTTATACTATAAATTCAAAAGGTCAATTTGATAGTATTGTAAGTTAAATTTTTTCTGAATAAAATATAATATTATTTGATTATAGATGAAGGTTGATTTTGATTTTAAATTACCACGTAAGAATAAAATAAGTTTTATTTTTCTAATATAATTAATTAATTTTTAGAATCTTCATCAACTCATTCAATTTTTGAAATTTTATCAAATGATACTAATCTTTTTTTGTGTTGGCAATCTGCATTGAAAGTAATAATAAACTATTTAAAATTGGATTCTTGTTTGTTTTTTTTTTGTTACTTTAAGAGAATTTTCTTTTTTTTAAGAAAGAAACTGAACAAGTTGAATATGCAGTTGTTTCACTTGGTCATGGTTTGTTTTATTAATTTACCTTTTTCTTTTCTTTTTTTCAAATTAAATTTCTTCTAGGTCGCAGTCTTTATGTATCTAAACCATTAAATCAAGAACAATGGGAAATATTTCAATCACGTAAAGTTCATTTTGGTCTTCTTGGTAAATTTAAAATTTTTTTTTTTGTTGTCAGAATTATAAATTAGATATAAATTTTGTTTTGTTTTTTTCTCTCTTCTTTAGATGGTGATTATGTTTTTGCTGTTTTACGTGGTGAATTTATTCATTTACTTAATTTTAATGTTCAATTAAATTTTCTTAATCATCTTTTTTTTTCTAATAATAAAATTAATTTACCATATGATACAAAATATACTACTCAACGTGGTCTTATTACAAAAACATCAACATTACTTTATGAAAAAAAAAATCTTTTTACATATACTATTGAAATGTGTCCAGAGGAACTTATTAAAGCAATTTCATCAACAAATATGGAATCAATTATTGCATATTCATTTGTTGCAGCAAAACATAATTCTATTTCAGAACAAATACTTAAACAAATTTTATTACATATGTATGATGATTTAAATACAAAAGCATATCTCAAAGAAATTCTTACTGGTAATTTTTGACAAAATAAATGTTAAAGTTTCAAAATAGAGAGAACAGAACAAAAATCATTGTGATTAGTAACAACAATTCATCGTATTTCAAATTTTTATTTCACAAGATTTGTATTAGCAGTTTTTTTTTAGTACGAAAGGAAAAAACACTGAACTTTTGAGTGTCGAAGTTAAGTTTTTTGTATCCTAATTCTGATCTTCGTAACTTTTGTTTTTTATAGTCGCGAGTCTGATCTGATAGAGAAAATATTCCGATGATTTTTATGCTTTTTATTCGACTCTTGAATATAAGTATATTCTAGTGTGATTATGATCTATCGTTAGAGAATTACATGGTTTTGAATATACAAAAAAAAATCTTATTGTTTCCTTCAGGAGTTTATCCAATGTGGACATTGAGGAGGTGGCGTTTCACTGAAAATCAAGTTGATTTTCTTGGTGTTTATGATTATTGTATCATGTACTATGGTGTCTGTGCTATAAAAATAGAGTTTACTCTCCGGAAGAGAAGATCAATAGTTTTTTTATACATATTTTTAAATTGGTTTGTTCGACCGTAAGATTTTCGTATCGAAATTCTATTAGACAATAAAATAATAATATCTTTCGTATTGCTGATATCGAGAAAGAGAAAACGATAATATGAGACTTAATTTTATTGTTTTTCACAAGAAAAAAACAACATTTGAAGATTGCAAGGACTATTATTTTAGCAGGTCTATGGAAAAAATTGCCATCTGACTTATTCTAATCATCCACTAACATTTGCTTTTTCAGTAGAAGGAAGCTTGTCTCTCATGAACGCTGCACCACAACCACAAACCTTTCTACGACCTTGAGAACATTTCGATAATTGATAAATCCCTTTTGAGGTGAGTCGTAAGTCAGTAACGGTTGTTCTTAAAGTTATATCAAGGGTAGAGTCCAACGAATCCAGGCTCAAGTCGGACTTGATGAACTCCAATCCTAGAATTTATGATAATAAAAGGTCTGATAGCTTGATAATGAAGTAATCCAAGTGAGACATTGAAGCTTGAGAGTTTCTTATGAAGGTAACCTGAAGTGAGTTTCGGCATTTTGTTGAAAAATTCATTAGAATAGCTATCAGTCAATCAAAGCGACTTATAGGTAGAAATATTTTAAGAGTTTCTCTCGATTCAATTAAGCCCGTCTGATAAGTTAATATTCATCTGAAAAGCGATTTATTATCATATGTCATGGTTCTCTCATTGTTTTTTTTCCTCAAAATCCCTTGATGACTAAAAAATAGAATCTAAGGAACAGAAACTCAACAGATATTTCTTTCATCAATCATAAAAAAATGGATTTCATTTTGAATAAATGTGTCTAAGAAAAATTCTCTGACAAGAATCAATATAATTTTTTTTTCATTCTCATTCTTTTATCTTAACATATATTTTTCAATTTAGCATTAATCTTTCTTCGTCTTTCAAAACGAATTCATCATAATAAATATGCCTTAGTTTTTCCAGCAACAACAATCAATCATCGTCATACAAATAATATAGAAGTAAAAAAAAACAAACTTTATTTCTTAACTTGATATTAAAAAAGAAAAATAACAATAATGAATTTGTTATGATATAGGTATCAATTCGTGCATTTGCTCATCGTCGTGAACACAGTCCTGAACATTGTGGAATAATAAATATTGATAAAGAATATTGTGATAAATTTCGATCATTATTTGATTTTTCTCGGAAATATCGTCATAGAGTTTCATATTATCATCCAATAATGCCAAGCAATGATGATAATGAATTTAAAAATGATATTTCAAATGCAACTTCATCACCACTACTAGAACGACGATCATCAAGTCCTGGAGTTTTTTCTTTAAGAAGAAAACGGTTGAAAATTTCTTTCGTTTTTTTTTCTTTTAACAATTATTATTACTTAAATTTTTTTTTTTTTGTAGTGAATCAACATCATTATCTACTGATACTAATATCAATGATAATCCAAAATCTTTTATATTATTAGATCCAAAAAATAAATTTGTATGAAAAACAAAAAATATATATATATATAAATTCATTGTGTATATATATTGTTGTTTTTCTTTTCAGCTTTTCAATAATGTTTCACATGAAATTCAGCAACTTCATGTAAATTGGGAACAAGGACGAATCAAAGAACTTGCATTTGAATATGTTCAAGCTACAGTAAAAATAAACAAATAGTTCAGTTTTGTTTTTTTCTAAAAGATTTTGTTTTCTGAATTTCAGCAAGATCAATGTGATAATTTAATTAAATCATTTACAGATCTTGCCAAGTTTGATCGAACACAAGCATTAATTGATGATGATAATGTGTATGTATATATTGCATGGCTAACTAGAAAAAATTCACTATTTTTTTATATCTTCTTGACATTGATGGTCTTAAGAATATAATAAAGCAATCCACAATCACACTACTATGTATCTAACATTAGAAATCATAGATGTAGAGAAAATCAGGACTTTTCACTATAGAACGGTGTGAATGTACTCGTGTAATTGAACAGAAGACCCACAACTATGCATTAGATACTTGAATATAAGTGAGGTTTTACTTAGAGTGACAAGTGAAAATGTATACCAAAAACCATAAAAGTTGACTTTCGAAGCCATACACAGTGTTTTCGAGATAAGAAAAAGCGAAGAATTTCGAAAAGTGTTGGTAGTTATTCTATAGCGCCTTTGTAAACGTTCCATAGATGAAAAACAATTTTTATTTTAGACCGTCATCAATAAAATACCAATCACTTCTTGTAGTAATTGAAAAATTATATTTAGCTATGGATGAACTTGGATTTTCACCTACGACTGGTAGATGTTTCTTTTCATTTTTGTTTTTAACGACAAAGAAAAACAACTCATTTTTGTTTTTCTGTCTTTTAGAACTTCAACGAATTTTACTTGAAATATCATTTCGTGTTATGCCATTTGATCGATTTGTTGCTGCTATTGATCAAAATATTCTTACATTAACAGAAGAATTTGTTTCAAAAGTTATTCTTGGTTAGAAAATTCTATAGAAAATAATTTGATTTATTCATTTTTTTCTTTCTATAGAATTAGATGATGATCCGAAATCATATGCAATGAAAGAACAACTTATTTTTATGTTACCAAATATTAATTCGGTAAAAGAAAAAAAAAGAAAATATTTCGATTATTATCGAGATTTTATTTTTATTAATTTCATTGAATATATCAAGGAGAACATGAAAGAAAGAAACGTGATCATTTTTGATAATTATTAAAATTTAATCAGAGACTTTCAAATTCATTATTAGTACTCATGAGAGAACGCTTCTAAGCGTTAAATCATTTTTGAATTAGAACTATGTGCATGATGTGGATCCTAATGAACTATAAATATTCTGAAAAAACTTCCGACTATTAGTTTATCATTACTAAGATATTACATTATTACGTTCGTTTTTAGCGTAATGTCATAGCGTCGTTAGAAATATTAGAAAAAATTTAGTTTTGACTTTCAATTTAAAACTTTCTATAAAGAGAAATCTTGATGAAAATAGTCTACTGTGAAAGTTTCCGGTTTTTTAATTGCTCTTATTCTGATATAAGAACATCGGAATTGGTGAATGTGTATGAGCAATGTGTAAGAACAAAAAAACGTACTTTTATCATAGCCGTATCTTAGGATAGAAGAAACAACAATGATCTGAAACTTGTACAATAAACTATTCTTTTAATAGGACTGTCTCTATGCAATGTTTCACAATCGCAACTATAAACTCATTTTTTCTAGAGGTTCTGAGGTGATCACTGTATGATGTTAAAAAGTATAGTAAATATGCAATATCTCAACAGTGATAAGTTAATAGTCCGAATTTAGTTTTCAGAGTATCCATAGTTCATTAGTATCTATATGATGCACATAGTCTTGATTCAAGAGTGATTTGATATTCGAAAACATTTCTTTGTCATTATAATTTCGATATAATGAGCTTAGTTCGAAGACACAAGAACAAATCGAATAATATCAATATATGTTTGAAAGATAAGGTCCGTTAATTAACTATAGTTTTCATTAAAACCACATGTTTATTTTGATAATATCATTGACTATCGTACTTAATTTATGTAGTGATAGAGAATGATGTAGTCTCTAACAGATTGTTCTAAAAGGGATTTAAATCATAGTATTTCATAATATAAATACTCAAATTGTTTCGTGCTTGTATAACAATGTATTAGATTTTTTATTTATTCGAAGTTCATCATGCTAATAGATGCTAACAGTTTGTGTGCTAGCCTTTTTATTATTTTTATCGATTTGCATGATTACAAATATTAGACTTTAAGTCTTTGTTTCCGATCTGTCTCGTGTCTAACAATTCATTAGGGGAAAACTAAGTTCAGTAAACAGTCCACTCAATCACTAAGCAGTAAATGTGTAGTGCAAAGATGATTAACTTGATCATCAATAACATAAAACTACTAGTCAAGCACAGTATCGAAACTCTAGGATTTGAGTTAAGAGTTAGATGATGAGACTATATTACTTATTTAAGCTAGATATTGACGCTTTAAATACAAGGCTATCAATGTGAATGATATAGGAGCTCGGAATCGAACATCCAGTGGTCGAATCTTTTTCAATTTCAGACAGAGTGGACCTTTTGATCCAATCGTTGTATTCCTATTTTGAATTTTCTACTATTTTTGAGAAGTTTTCCTATCGGAAATGATGTCTTTCACGTAAGTTCCGATCGGAAACCTACAGAATCAACCATCGAAACTATTGGTTTGAGTAATATCATATAGTTTAAATCAATGCATTATCTATCATTTTCTAGCAGTGCTATTTTTATCTATCTTTTAAGTTGAACACAACTATTCTTAGGCATGTAGTCAATGATCTTTATCTGAAATCTTCTTTTTTTATTAACGCTCATATGATTTTAATAATAATTGCAACATAAATTCTGTAATACTCATGGAATAAATGATGTCGAAATAAGTATGAACATGTGAAAGAAAAAAAAATTTCATTTAGATAAAATGAGAAATAATTCGTGCGTTAGGAGAAAATATGTATCATGGGAAATTCAACGTATTAGAAAGAATAATTATATTGAAGTGAGAAAAATAACAGACGGAAGAAATAGGAACAGAAAAAACATTGTTTTTCTTTATATATAATCTGGCCTTTGTTGACATATTATTTCTTGTATCATTACAAAAAAACATTTTAATAACTGGAGTAAATAAGACTTATGTAACGAGAAGTAATTCTACTAAAAATAACTTCACGTATGATGGATGATTTTCATGATATTCAGAGATTTTAAACTTAATTATCTAAGTGCATGAGCTTATATCTTATTTTTTTCTGTATTAGATTAATGTAAATTTTTAATTAAATAGATTCTTTGATACAAAATATTGAACTTTTTACTATCAATGAATTTGTTTTGCCTATTAGAATATTAAACTCTAATTAATATCAAAAAATTAATTAACCATATTCTAAAATCTTTTATCCATTAAAAAAATGTATTCAAAATCGATAACACGATCAGTTCTTTTGTGTTTTTGATTATCCTTTATATGATTGTCTTTATATATATATATATGATACAACCTATCTTTCATATATGATGATTGATAAGTTTCTATTTGTTTTTTATGTATCAGTTCTTCTCGAGTGTTTTTTTTTCTTTGTACCAGAAAAAGCAACACTGTTTGATTGATAAGCGTAGTTATTTTGTCCTTGTATTAAATCATTAAATATATCGGAAATATATACATATCTATAAATAATAATTCAATGTAAGTTTATTGTTCTTTTTGTTTCTAGGATTTACATTCACGCTTATTTGCTTTAATAAAAAATGATCGTGCTAAACGAATGACTGCGCAATTACTTGTCACTCGAAGTTTTTCGACAGGTGTTAATTGAAATGAAACAACATTAAATGACTACATCATTATTTCTTTTTTTGTCTATATAGATAGTAGAAGTAGGAATACAACAGCTTATGCTAGTTCAACGTCACATGAAAGTAAAAAGAAAAAGAAAGAAATCTTTGAGTAATTAGACTAATTGTAATCTATATTTTTTTATTCATATAAAAACTTCAAGTTGATGAAATGATGGATATTAATAGCAATCAAAATGGTACTAATACTCATAGTAGACTTGTTGAACAAGCTGTAGTCACCTTCTTTCGTGATTGTAATCAACGAGGTAAACATAATAAAATAAAAATAAAAATAAAAAATAAACTAAAATAATACACTACGAAAACAAAAACCAATATTGTCTCTATTATAGGAATATTGGACGAAGATGAAATGAGTCTAGTTAAAACTGGACTCTTTTCTTTGGCTTCATCAGCACCATAAAAAGAGTATATGAATGACACATCACTGACTCTATGTGACTTTGATAGATACGACTCGAGTTTTTTTTAATGTTGTATGCGTTCTTTTTTTCTTCCATCTGCTGTTTGTTGATAATATATCATTGGCAGACTTCGATAAGATTACATGAAAAAGAAAAAAGAAAATCCATCTTAATTAAGAACTTCGTGATCAAACCGTTGCTTATGCTTTTGCTATATAGTATTTTTTTGGCTAATATTGCATGTTTGATCAGTTAGCTCCCTATATTATTATTTTATTCATATTCCTCACATTCTTTTGATTTCCTTTCTAGCTGCTTACAGTAGCAATCCATCTTTTTTAATAGGCTCATATCATAATAAAGCTACTGATAGACAGAGACCTAAATAATTTTGCTTCTGGGAAAAAATAATAAATTCGACATATAAAATTCTTCTGATTCCATAAGAAGCAAAAGAAAGTTTATTAAATCACAAGAAATCGTCCTTGATGCCTTCGTGTATATATCACTCTTGTTGTTATTATATAAGCTTCAAAAATGTTATGTTTCTATACAATGGTTAAAAACACCATTTTTTTTTCACCAGTTGTTTTTCTTTTTCTTTCATATTCTAGTCGCCAGCTAAGCATTTATTCATTGAGAAAAGAAACAATAAAATAAGAAAGAACCGTAAAGCTATCAACTGTTCACAAGTATAATTTTATTTGTCTGAAATATATATTTAAACCTTTATGTTTAAAATTTTTGCTGCTTTATTAATTTTCTCTTTTATTTTTGTTTTTTTCTTTAAAAATAATAATTGGTTCTCTTCATAGGATAATGGATCCTTTACAATCAGAACAACCCACACAACATTCACAAACTGTCATCGAATGTCAACCATCAATTTTAATAAATAATAATGATATAATTACAAAAACTGAAAATAATAATGATGATCAAGCTGAAATGCGTCGTCGTGCGCCAACAAGACATTCAATCAAATCATTATCCGGTCGAAAAACATTATCAAAACAAGCTTCAGTAAATGAGGTAAAGAAACGTTTTTTCCCTTTTTCTTTGAATTATTCATGTTTTTATACACATTTGATTAGTTTTCTTTTATCATGTTTTAAATTGTATCAAACGTGAAATTATTTCATCAAATGTTTTCTTTTTTCTTTTTATTCTTTAGTTGATTCTCGTTTTAGTATATTTGCTTGACCTGTCAGTGATAGATATGCGTACACTTTCGTTTTGAAAAAAAAATGCCTTATCAGCTGTGCACACATGACACTTTATTGTATTTAGTTGGATACTTCTTTTTTTTATGTGTGCAGCTGTTTTCTTCATTGATGAGTTTTAGACAAAAGTAACACAAAATTAAAAAAAGATATACACTTGTAAGAATAGATCATATTTATTGTCGTTCGGCAAATAAATTTCTGTTTTTTTTGGTATATTTTAGCTATGATGCTCTTAACATTTAGCAAATGTTGCCTCTATGTATTCCGTCTTTTTTTTCTTCTCTTCTTTGTAGTTCTTGCACGACCTCATATATAACCATTTTTTCTATTCTATTCTATTGCTCTCTCTTTTTTTTCTTTTTCGTCGTCATCTATCGAGCGAGCATGTAAGCGACCGACCATCCGTCCGTCCGCTGTTGGATACATGCCGAACAGCCAGTTCTAAGCCAAAAGTATAGAAAAGAGAGAGCTAGAAAGAGAAGAGTTGACATAGCGGACGCGCGTGTCTATGTTTTACGTCTGTATGTGTGTGTTAGAGGCTTATATGAGATTGTGATGATGATCATACAAGCCAAGACATGTCGAACCCACCAACTTGCTCATTAATATTGTAGAAAGTATAACAAAAAGAAAACAAACAAACGAACACATCTATTCAAACTTAAACAACATAAAATGTTTGGATTTAAAAGTTCAAGTAAGAGCAAACGAAAATCAAATAAAAGTCCTACAACACCAATAAATACATCGAATGAAACAAAACATTTTCCTTATGTACCCAGTGTTTCACAAATTGCTCCTCTTCCACAAAATAAATCTCATGGTATATTACCAGTTTTAAGTCTGGATGGACGTGATGCACCAAATTCAATGCAATCAGACACATCAGAAAATGATTTAACATTAAATACAACAACTACAAATAATCAAAGTAGTAGTCGACAACCGGTGGGTGTATACATTAAGATTAGTTGATCTTATTACATCGTCAAAGTTTGTTTTTATTACTAATGTAGCGTATTTCAATGATTTCAATATGGTTTTTAGTTATTTCATGAGGAGGATTTTTCTATTTTTATGAGCATGGATGCGTAAGGATGAGCACGAACACAGATCTTCTCGTATCTGTAATTTCTTTTGATAATTATGATTCCATTCGTATAATAACTTTATAGTTCTTTGTATGTTTTCCCTTTTTATTCAATTCATTTCGACCATAATTAATAGTTCTTCTTCCTTTTTCTTCTCAAACGACTATTTTTTTTTTTTTACATTTTGAGGCGTCAATTTCTGTTTTTTTTTTAATTTATTTTTCTATATTCATCCAACCACTTATACACTTTAAGTAGACCGTAATACAATTTAATGTAATGAAAGACAGAACTAGAACGCAAGCATTTTCATGCAAGTGTCAGATATTATATTTTGCAATACTTCCAAACTATGACATGTATTTGATTTGATTCATATCGATTCATGAATGAAAAAAAGCAAACTCAAAAATAGATAAAAAAAAAAAGAATAATTACCATCAGTATGCATTACTCATATAAGGCTGTTTTTTTTTTGGTTGCTTGTAATAGATAAGAATAAAAAGAAATAGCACAGATAATTATATTATCTTAAAAGAAAAAACAAGACGAGAACGTAAGATAAGAATATATGTTATTCCTTCGGCAAAAAAGAAATCTAGTTATTCGATTTTCTTTTTGTTCATTTGATTAATGTTGACAATCAAATCATATTCGGAATATTTAGACTAGTAGAAAAATTTATTCATAAGATTAAAGAAAGTTTTATTTACAATAATAAATAAAAATAGACAGACCAAATAGAATATTGACATCAACCTAAATAGTTTTTCTTTGAATTATTTTTCTACTACTATATATATATGTTTTTCTGTTTTTTTTTTGTAAGAGTAATTAGAGAATAATTTTCATTTGAGATCAAAATATATGTCAGCATACAAACTGACAAGGGAACGCTTCGAAGTGTCAAATCACTTTTGAGTTCGCACTATGTACATCATGTAGGCTCTAATGATCCTTGAATATCCTCAAAAGAGTTCGAATTAATAGTTTATTGTTGCTGAGATATTGTATTGTTTATCAGAATATTGTGGTACGCCGCAAGAACACTACGAAAACAAATTTTTTATCTGGAAATTTTGCATAGAGACACGTCTTAATGAAAACAATTTATTATAAAAGTTTCAAATCTTTTGATTGCTTCTATTCTAAGATACGGCTATAATGAAAAGCATATTTTTCACTCCGTTCATAGACAATGGCAAATTCCGGTGTTCTTCTTACACAATAAGCATAATCAACAAATCTGAAACTTTCTCAAGAAACTATTTTCGTTAAGGCTTGTCTCTATGCAATGCAAAGTTTAGAATCGATATTTAAAACTTAGTTTTCCTTATATTCCGAGGTATGTTCAGATTCCCAAAAAAAGGAAATTACCCATATTTCTAAAATTTCCATCAGCACGATTACTATTTAGCAGTGCAAATTAAAAGTTTTTAGACATATTGCAAATTTCAGCAATTTTAGAAATTTCTGTAATTTCAGAAATTTCTGTAAGTACATAATTGCGGAAATTACATCATTTTAGGAAGTAACGTATAATTTCGAACACAAATGCTTGAAATCTTCGAAACTTCCGAAATTTTCTTTTTCGAAATTCTGAACACTGCTGTATATTCCTGAGGGAAACTACGATATTTTTGATTAAAAATGCAGTATTTCAGTAACAATAAGCTATTAACTCGAATTCTCTTAAGAATATTCACAGGTCATTAAAATCTACATGGTACACATAGTACGAACTCAAAAGTAGTTTCATACTTCGAAACGGTTCCTCGTGAGATTACGGTCAATCTTGGATTAACTTATGAGAAAATGTTTTCAATTAATCAATTGCTTTTTTTTTTTTACTGAAAGTTAATGGATTGTAGATTATCGATCATGTTTGTTTCGAATATGATCATGAAAAACTTCCTTAAGTCTTCATATTCTGGTTCTCTAGAACATCGATTTTTCAGAACAATTGATTTATTTATTAAAAGTTTTTTTCGATCTATCCAGCTTATAGAGCATAGTACATTGTCTAGAAAATAGCAACTATTCCTGTTTCAAATCGTTTTTTTTTTGCAGAAAACAAAGTCTTTTTAATTCACAGAACAACAGCATATCAACATTACAATATCTGAAAAGTCTTCAAGATGATATTATTCTCTTTGACATTCATGTTTGGAAAATAGAAAATATTATTGACTCATTGACAGCTCGATATGCTCTATTATATGCGTAGAGCCAAAACGACTTTGATCAAGTATCTGCTGGTCTGGAAAGCGAGCATATATAGACCTAAGAAAATTTCTTACTGTCAAATTCTTATTAGACAAACTTCGGATATGAGATGTGACGCACTCAATGTCAGATTGAAGAGGAAATTCATGCTAAAACTCGAATTTATTTCAAGATCGATGTTCTTGTCAGTTTCCTATTGATTAAGTAAGAACGAAACAATGAAATTCCAATATTAACACAATCATTAGCTGACTAACTAAATTTTAATCTATAAAATTATGGGCAGTTCTAAAGACAAGAACTGCTTTAATAGAAACTGGTCATAATCCTTCGAATCTTTACTTTATTCGTTCATGGATTATTGTATTAATTGAAATTCTATTGTTTTCTTTTATCAATTCATTCATAAGAGTTCAACGACGACATCAATCTATAAGAATCAATTCGAGTTCTTGCATAAATTTCTCGTTTAATCCGAGACTGGATGTAATTTCAACGCTAACAGATGTAAATAATCATTGAATTAGTGGAAATTTTTTCAATCTAAACTTTAACTAAAAGTTTATTTATCTCTAGAAATTAAAATTAATCCTGTTAATTTTTAATCTTAGATGATAAAATTGAAAAGATTATATGATTGTCAAGTTTTTAAAATAATTTCTCGATCAATTGAAAAAGATGTATGAATAAAACATATAGATTTAGTAAAATATCATATTATTGCAAAGTTTTAAATTAAATAAAAATTCGAAAAAGTGCGTCTGATTAATTTCTCCTAATTGAAATCCATTCAATTCGACAAATGTATCATATTTTTCCAATGAGAAATCTCAATTTTTTGTTTTATCTTATTCAATTTCCTTTAAACGTTTGATTTTTAAAAATTTGAAATTTTGTTAAAAAACGAACATCAAAGGAAAATACTTTAGTCTTTGAGCAACTGTCGGATACTTAATTTTGTCCAATAGTTCTCTTCAAAAGTGATTTATATATGATGTATTTTATGAGTTGTTTTAATAGAAATATAAAAGCTTTCTGCTTTTCTTCTAGCAGTTAGCCCAAACGATCAGAATTATAACTGTTCGATGATCAGATCGATTAAAGTAATTGCACCAATCAATTATTTGAATTAATAAAAACTATTTTAATTTGTTAATTTTATTTTAAATGAAATCTCTATCTAGCAGATTTTAGTACTTTTAATGAGATAATCAATGATCTTATTTTATTTTAGTTTCTTTTTTGCTGCGTTCTGTTGTAATCTTCAAAAAGGATGAACGAAAGTGGCTCACATACACTTGACTTCTTCGGTGAATACATTGACGTTTTCTTAGGGATCAGATATAACTGGAAAACTCGCGTTCGAAAAGTATTCAGTTATAATCTAGAAACTAATGTCGGATTTTTTTAAAAGTACTAACGACCATTTTTTGAATAACTGTTCAACGGTTCAAGCTACAGACGTCGGGTTTTCACCGTTAGAAAAAGCAAGGCGGGAAACGTCGATCTGTATAAAATTCATTAAGTTCAAGCCTCTTTTCTATAGCTGTTTGCAATCAGATATTTTTTTGTTATCTATTTTCATGAGTTTTTGTGACAAGTTAACATCAAATTAGACCAAAATGTAGCCCAAATCTCCCTGTATTTGTGCTAAAATTTTCAAATCTCTGCGTTTTCTTCTCGTTTTTTTCCTTCCGCTTTGATGTTAAAATATGAGAATTTTAGCACAAATACAGGGAGATTGGGGCTGCATTTTGGTCTAATTTGATGTTAACTTGTCACGAAAACTCATGAAAATAGACAACAAAAAAATATCTGACTGCAAACAGCTATAGAAAAGAGGCTTGAACTTAACGGATTCTTATATAGATTGACGTCCCCGCCTTGCTCTTTCTAACGGTGAAAACTCGACGTCTGTAGCTTGAACCGTTGACAAGTTATTCAAAAAATGGTCTTTAGTACTTTTTAAAAAATCCGACATTAATATCTGAAACAGAATTAAAAAGAGATAGATGTAGGCTCAATAATTTAACAACGGTAACACTTGGCAACTTGTGGTTTTCACCAATCGAAAAATAAGAACTCCAGAGGTGGTTTTGTCTGATATTGTATAAGATAAAATCATTTTAAAACTCATCATCTTCGAAAAACATTCGGAAAAACCTCGTGAGAATAATGTTCTATTTCAAGAAAAGTTTGATAACAACTCAGAAAACTTCGTAAACTTGGTTTATTTGACAATGACATAAACGGTATAAAATAAGTTTAAATCCTTTCCTGCAATATTCGCTTCTCCTATACTTCTACATTGATCAAGACTGATATTCACAATTCACTAGAGTTTGTCAGGTCCAAAATTTTCAGCTCTGAACCAGTTAACGGAAAACTTTCAGAGCTGTACCTAGATTTGACCGGGTTCAAAATCAATCCAACGAGCACTACAGTACATATACTAGATGTCTAGATTTATCCTATGTTAGAATATCAGCTTTTGCTTATTACTGTTATCGAGACATGAGTAATATGAAAATCAGAAACATTTTTAGGTCTAGGCGTGAGTGCTAGTGAGGACAAAAACAGAAATTCACATCCATCCTCACCTCTACCCCCACACTTACATCCAAACTCAGTTTCACACCCACACCCTCCTACTAAACCTTCCGGTTTTTTTTTTGAGTTTTGATATATAAAGTGCCAGCATCAAGTAGAACTAATGAAAGTGGTTATAATTGGCACAAATATTTGTTTGGAGTTGGGCAGTTTTCATGTCGAAAATTTAAAATCTTTATGAAGTAAAATAGGATTTGTTGCATCCATAACTACGACCGCCCACACCCACGCTCAGTCAGACACCCACATCC